CAGGGCGTGCTGTCACCAAGGTCCTCTTTAGTTAGGCTTTTCTTGAAAGACATTTGATTCATAACCTAGTCCTCTAGTCACAAAAAAAGTATAATAAGGACAAATGCACTGTAACCTTCCCTGCAATAGAGTACCCAAGGTAGCTTGTATATGTTCAGCCACGGCAAATTTTTGAAAGTGAAAAGAAGTTCCAGTTCTATGTCAACGCACTCATTCCCTTGCTGAAACTGCCATTCTATCAATCCATGGTAGCCTTGTTACTGGCATAGGACTAAGTCCAGTCCATTTAATATACACCTGCACTGATACTCCATCCACCTACTTCTGTGTGCAAAGGATGGGAGAGGGGATGAAAGAAAAAGGATTTTTTCCTATAATAGTTGCAGAAAACCACAGTTTATTCCATGTGTCATTTTAAAATTCTGCTACAACCTGTGTCATCATTAGCTAATATAAAATTATATATACATGTAAAAACAAGTGTCAATGAGATAAATAAGTTATGTGATTATCTGTCTGGAAGTAATAATACAGGTACAAGCAGTATTGTTAAAATATTACATTATTCTTTTATGTACAACACATATCACAAAGTTGATAATAATGTTAATTTTTTTCATGTTTGAATGCATTATTAATGTATTTAAGTTGATGCCACCTGACACAGTAAAAAAATATGTGAAAAATGTGAAGTTACGTTTTGTCTCTCAGATGTAAAGATACGTATAGATCAACTAGTTTGCCACTATGAAGAATCAGGCAAGAAATTGCCAACTGCAATTGAATACTGAAATGGTTCTGATGAAATTGTAATGAAGAGATGCTAGCTTTCAAAATTGATTATTTATTCTCTTATGGAAAAAATTAACTTTTTGGACAGGTGGGCCTCAGATTTTTTTTTTAAGAAATAAACTCAAGAGTCATGACAGCTTTTAATGCATATGTTGCTGAAAACCACCACTATCAGATTGTTCTACTGTAATTATTACCTGAAGATGGGATTTGATTTATGACCTTGCAGGAGGAAGACCTAAAATCAGTTTGATAATTCTTGAAAAGATTTGTTTTCAACTGATTGGAAAATACCAACTTTGGGAGAGGGGAAGAAAAGCAGGGAAAGGAAGAAAAATCCTAGCTGTTTTATTAGATCGTTCAGCTGTGAAGAATTTCCCACAGCCTTTGATCAATGTATTATTTGGCTTCTAAATTTTGTTATACATGGTTGTTACATAACCATTGAAAACTAAGAATAATATCAACATCTACTTTCAATTTAAAGATGGGCATAGTTGCCCAAGCCACGTTGTGAGAGGCTAGTCATTAAATTAAATCTGGTATTGGAACCTTAACAATTTTATCACTGAAAAGACTACAATTTTACAGAAAGTAAATACAGAGGGGAAAAAAAATCTTTCTCTTGTGGTCAGTATTTCATGACAAGAAGAGAAAAACACAAGCTTAAAAATATGCATTATTTACATATCCTACATGATTTACAGTCTGTGGCAGGTCTTCTCTTCGTGGAGTTCTACCGTAAGAGAGACTACTTCTCCTTTAGAAGAGGTGCTTCTCTTCCTTCTCAGCCTTTTCTCTCCTGCTATGACTAACTCTAGTTCAGCACAGGACAAATTATCCCTTTGTTTTATCCATCTGCT